TGTGATAATCATGTGATTATCACATTATTGCTTATATCAACACGATTTGGTATGATTTGGGTGTGATTTAGGTGTGATAATCATGTGATTATCACACAATTATCACAAGGATTCGCTCGGCTAGGGTTAACTTAGAAAATCGACTACCKATTCGGTGTGATATGTGTGWGATAATCATGTGATATCACTATCATAACARCGCACTTGMTTTGATCATGTTTCGATCGGTTAGGATTAGACGATCACACATTTATCACAACGATTACGGGAGAAATCCATTAAACGATTTGGTGTGATATGAGTGTGATAATCATGTGATATCACTATTATAACATCACTTGCRCATTCAATTTGATCATGGTTTCGATCGGTTAGGGTTAGACAATCACACATTTATCACAATGATTACTCATGGTTTCGATAGGTTATGGTTATACTTGATTGATCATRGTTTYGATAGGTTATGGTTACACAATCACACAATTATCACAAGGGGAGAGGAGAGAGTGGAAAAGAACGTGCAGGAAAAAAATGGATAATTATGACTAATTAAAATAAAATAAAAATTATAAAATTAATTAATTACATTATTGCCCTTGTTAATTTATTTATATTTAATATAAGTTAATTTATTAATTAAAAAAGTTTGAGGTTATTAGATTGTTCTCGCATTCTCGTAAATTACATGGGTTCTCGTTTGAACCTTATATATATATATATATATATATATATATATATATAGAACTTAGTTCAAATACTAATCAAGATTTTTATGTTAACTTTGTTAACCAAGCTCAACCAATCATATTCCATCTTTTCTTTAGGTTCACATATAACTCATATATTAATAACAAGGGTAATTAAGTATTTTGTCATTTATGTAACTCCCAAATCATTAATTGGGAGTTAAAAATCAAAAAATCTTAATAATTAATGATTATGTAATATTGATATTTTTTTTATACGTGTTCATGCTTAATTTCGATTTATTCTATCCATAATGATGTTGATTTTGTAATTGTTAAAGAATTTTCGATTGTAAAGATTTCGATATCGTCCGAGTAATATGGATAAACCTATTGGAAAACAGATCGACAACATTGAGAATGAAAAGGTTAAAATCGTCTATGACTACAATCGAAATTCGAAATTATATGTAATTGTTAAAGACTTGTTCACAAGTGTTCATATTGTGTGCATATGTACACTAGCTGCATATCTCAACATTCTCTTGATCCTGAATGTGTTCATAATGAAAGAACTATTGTTCACAAACTGTTCATATTGTGTTCATATGTACACTAGCAGCATATCTCAACACTGGTTTGCTCCTGAATGTGTTCATAATGAAGGAACTATTGTTCACAAACTGTTCATATTGTGTTCATACCTGTTTTTTTATTTATTTACTTTCGTGTAGCAACTATTCTTATTATATTCATATTGTGTTCATAAATGCTATAYAGTCTAAGTTCATATATATGTCAATTTTTGTTCGTATTTGACACAATGGTTCATATATATATATGTGTGTGTGTGTTTATATGGTTCTTACATTAACAAAAATAAATTAATAAAAATAATGAGATTTTTTGATTTTATAACTCCCAATTAATGATATGGGAGTCACATAAAAAAAGAAAATTACCTAAATACCCTTTTCCCCTTTGTTCACAATGCTATTTGAAATTGTAAATTTAAAAAATTAATTTTTTATAATGATTAATCACAACCCTTTATTGTAAGAATCAATAACCAGGATTTGTTAACAAAGTTAGCACAATAATCTTGATTAACATTTAAAGCAACCCCTATATATATATATATATAGAGAGAGAGAGAGAGAGAGAGAGAGAGAGAGAGAGAGAGAGAGAAGTGATCAAATGAAAACCACTCTCATTTGTGTAAACCATGTAAACCAATCTCATTCATCCATTTTCTTGATCAATGGTCAAGATTAATTTAGTTTATATTAGGAAGTAAAAAAAAAAGTTTCTTTTTTAATTGGAAAAAGGGCAAAAAGGTAAAACACAAATTATCATGATACATTCTATAATCG